TAAATCATATATTTCTCCGCAACTTCGAAAGCACAAGTTGTTTGCTCAATACCACGAGGAGGCTAGAAAAGATGTTGAGCTTGCAATTGACATTCTACAAGCACGTTCACTCTTATCAAACGACCATGTCTAGTATGAGATAGTTTTTTTATGAGAAGAATTATGATGACTTGTACCATCATGCACAATATGATAGTATAAGATGAACGAAACACCTACTTGAACTATTACGATCCCACAGAATTTGTGAACGATAGGCCTACAAACGGACAAAGGCAATGACAGAAGAATATAATAAGGAGGATGATATGCCTTTTCAATACTCGATTGAAGAATCACAAACATATTCACATATATGACTAATAGATCACAACTTTGTAATAGAGAAGCTCATTGACTCTAAAAAGAGACTTGATTGAGAACATAGGGGAAAATTTCAATAATGATAATTGATGTTAATTTTATTTGAAATGTTTGTAACTTGTTTAATTAATTTTAATATTTTATTTTGATTTATGAAATTTCAAGTTTTTAATTGGTTCGTAATTAATTTTAATTGTATCGTAAAATATAAATTTTTTGATATCATTATGACTTTAATTATAGATTTTTTAATTAATTTATCACAACTAAAACAATAACAAGAAATAAATTGTAAGTAATACTTAATAAATAAAAAAATAAAAATAAAATAAATATTTTAAGTTGTAGGTTGGGTTAGAGATAAAGATAAATTTAGTTGTAGAGATTGGATTGTGTATATGGATGTGAGATAAATAATTTTTACTATTAAGGTGGGTTGTATATCTTTCATCAGCAAACCCTTTCCCCCAAAAAATCCTCCCTCAGTTGGCGCTCCTCAATTTCGTTTTGTTTGTCTTTCTCGTCGACGGCGATGCCCTAGCTAGGGGTCGTCAATTACCTCTCTTTCCTCTCCTGATGAAGCACGCTTCGATGTTGCTGTGGCAGATTTGCGATTGGAGGTCGGATTATAGGTTTCTGACGAGGTTTCGGTCGTTGGTGGCATCCTTCATGGTCGGCGACTGGCCAGCGAGTGTTGTCTCCCCCCTCATTCGCCGGTGGTTCTCCGATTTGCGACGGTATGCCCCTCTTCTCCCCTCGGATTGCGATTTTCGAATTCTGCCTTCCGGCAGGGCTCTGCCGCTTGGGTGGGACTCTGGTCTCTGGTCCTCGGTTCTCTGTGGCGGTGTTGGGCGGTGTGTTTGTCTTCGGGCAGGGTGGGGCTCCGATTTCTGCGGCTCCGGTTGCGGCGGTTGGAGTGAGGGTCGGGTTTCTCTCGCACTATCCCGTTGGTCTAGTGGTGTTAGGTGGCAGGGAGGTTCTATTGACCTCGTCTAGTGGTGTTAGACGAGTTTGGTTAGAATCGGTGTGGGGCGGACTTTGGCTCTCTCGGTTTTGATGGGTCGATTCTGGGATTGGTTCGGGGATAGAGTTTTGTTGCTGTATAGGCTTGATTGCAGTTTCGATAGCTGGTTCTGGGCCTGGATCTTTCTTGTGTCGATCGTCCACTACTGGTTTGGGCTTGCTCGTTCGATGGGGAAGGGCGTTTAGATTTTTTAGTTTATCTGTGTTCTTGTTTTAGTATTCGTATTTGTGTTTTGTGTTTTCGTATTTGTGTTTCGTGTTTTCGTATTGTGTTTTGAGTGTATGTGTTCTTGGTTGGGTCTTTTGGTTTGGAGATGAATACATGCTAGGCATTGTGCAGTGGCTTGTTTTTCATTTTCCTTTATTTTCGTTCGTGGAGTTCTCTAGGCCGCCATGTGCGTGTCCTCTCAGTCTTTTATTCCAATTTGTTTTTATGGTGTTTTTGATTTGGGCCGTTGGCCCCTGTCTCATTACCCTGTTGGGGTCATAGAATTACCCTGTTGGGGTCTTGTAATTTGTTTCTTTTGCACTTTTGTGCTTTTATATATTACCTCTATCGTTAAGGTGGGTTGTGAATAAACTTGTCTTATCCAGCTCCATCGGTTATTTCCTATCTTAATGCATTACAGTAGACAGCTTTCACAAAAAAATAATCGTTTATCATCGTGCATTTCTTGTTTGCAACGGTTGATCATTACAGTATACTGCTTTCACAGAAAACTAATCATTTATCAGCGCTAGTTTCTCGTTTGATAATGTATGAACGGGTTATTAATAATCACAACAAACTTGTTTTGATTTTTGGCTATAATCATTTTGCTTATGAATTTTTTCGATTCATACTCAAAATCTAATTGTACTTTAAGTCAACTTAAATATCTTCAATAATATTAATATAATTAAATAATAGCAATCAATTACACTTACATATTACATCAAATTTAATTCACTATTTATCCACACACATAATTTTAACTAATCATCCATTCACATTATCTCTTTTAATTTTACATCAAATCAATTTTAATTATTATTTTATTATAAACTCAAAATTTTACTAACAGCTAACCAAACCATTTTTTTTTTCTTTCAAAATTAACCATGTCTAATAAAAAAACTCATTTTGAGCAAATATACTTATATCCAAGCTCATTTTGTATCCAAGCACATCCTAAATACGACAACAAAACGCAACTTAGGGTATGTTTGGTTCAAAGGAGGGGAGGGGAGGGGAGGGAATTTAATGGAAGGGAGGGAAGGGGAGGGGAATGAAGGGAAAATAATTTATCTTGTTTGGATGAATTTTGTGGGAGGGGAGGTGAAGGAAAATGATTAACCTTATTTGGTTAGAAGATGGAAGGGGAGGGAAAATAATGTTAGAATGACAAATATATCCCTAATAATGTAAGGAACAAAAATAATAAAATAATTCACAGTAAGATCAAAAGAGTAATTTGTTGTTAAAATTTCCTCTCCCCTCCAAATTCCCTCACTTTTGGAGGGGAGCACATTTTCCCTTGGAGGAGGAAATTGAAGGGAAAATTTAAACCCCTCCCCCTACAAAAAGTTGAACCAAACAAGGGGAAATAAAATTTTCCCTTCCCTCCCTTCCCCTCCCCTCCGTTTTTCCCCGAACCAAACATAGGCTTAGTGGTAAGACGCTTCACATGTGATCGAGTCACCAAAGACAGAAACTAGCACCATTATTGATCCTTTAAAAAAAAAGCACACCCTAAATATACTACACATATATAAACAGATTAATCTCTCGATATTACAAATGCACCTTAATATTTATCAAATACAAACCTCAAGAATAATTATGCAGTTATGTAATTATCCCTTCGTACATAACAGAACCAACATATTCCCCCTCTTACATCACAGAACCAAAAATTTCACAAAAAACTCTATCCTAAACCAAATCCTCGAACTCCCTGTGGCTGACCAGCAACAATTACAAAAATTCAATGCAATCAAATAAAACAAACCAATAAAAAACCACCTTTCAAAA